GCGAGGCAGAGTGAGGATAGAGTGGGGAACAGAACAGGCAGATCAATGAAGTACACTGCTTAGGGGAGCAGGGGGAGAGACAGGAGAGGTCTGCTGCTCCATGTGGGTCACCTCCCTGGCTGGGGATTGAACTCATGCTGAAGTGGCTGCAGCTAGCTTCTTAGTGCTGTGCTTTAACTCGCTGCACCACCAGGGAGGACCCTCTACAATATATATTTTTAAAATGTGAATGATAATAGATCCCTCTTTCCTCCAATTTTATTTCTTAAGATTTGTTTGCAGCAGAGACAACTCCAGTTTTATTGATAAATTGGAAACTCACCCATTGCCTCTTCCTTATTTACTAATCAGATTATATCTTTCAAGCAAAAACAAGGGTCTGTTGTAATAGTGGTTAGTTTCTAAGAATATTGTGAATTTGTTTCTCTTTTCAATCCTTTCAGTTTTTGCTTCATTTATAGCTCACTGGGTCTGATGCATTCACAGTTAAGATTGTTATTTTTATCTTGATGGACTAAGTACTGTTTTGCTTTGCCCTGACATCTTTATTAGGTATTAATAAAGCCACTTTTTTTATTCTGATTTTTTTCTCTATACATTTTTAATTTTTATTATAGTTTATTTATATATAGTTTTGTGCCTTTTTCCATCTCAGTTGTAACCACCAAATCACCTGTGTGCCATCACCATAGTCCTGGGCAAACCCCGCCCTCCATTAATTCACTTCTTTTTTAAGTTAATTTTTGTATGTAATAGTTTTACTTTCCTTTCTCTACCATTATATTTTCATTTATTATAGATGACATATTGTTAGGTCATGTGTTTTTAAATTTACTCTGTCAGTCTCTTGTATTTTTATTTGCATGTTTAGACCATTTTTATATATTTTAATTATTGATATTTTTCCACACAATATTTTAAAATTTCTGTTTCCTCTATGTAGAAGGTATCTTCCCAACACCTATACTTGATGGATACTTTGACTGGATATAAAATGTTAGGTTCCCTAAGAATTTCTAAGGTATTATTTTATGCTTTTACCATTTGTATGTGACCTAGTTTGTGTTTTTGTTTTCTTTTTCTTTCTTCCAGTGGGTTACTTGAACATTTTAAAGCATTCTGTTATGATTTATTTATACTTTTGAGGATATCTCTTGATAAAACTCTTCTGGCACTAGTTCTAGATATTACTATATATAGAGAGAGAGTTTATCAATGGTCTTCTGGTGTTGTCATTTTACTAGTTAGTGAAGTGTGAAAACTTTACCTTTTTTTGCTTTCCCCTCACTTACAATGTAATTTTTCTTAAATACATTTTACATATATTCTGAAATATAAAATTTTAGGTTCCCTAAGAATTTCTAAGGCACTGTTCTATGTTTTTACTATTTGCATGTGACCTAGTTTGTGTTCTAGGGTTTATTGTTTTGTATTTGTTTTTTCTGTCTGTTTTTACCTCCTTTAGCTTTTTCATGCTCTGAAATTTGACAGTGATACACGTTGTAGGTCTATTTCATGCGGAATGCTGACCTTCATTGTGCCCTTTCAATGCCTGTGCAGTGGTTTGAATTACTTCTTTGATTTCCTGTTTCCTTTCTCTGTACTCTTTCTGAAATTCCATGTATTTGTATTTTGGTCCTTCTAAGACAATATTATGATTTTCCCCCTCTATCTTTTTACCCTTTATTCTAGAAGATACCCTCAAACTTGCCCTCTTAACTTCTGTTGATTTTTTCTGCTATCTTGTTATATCCTATTTTTAGTTCCCAAGAGTATTTGTTTCAAGGCAAGTGACAGAAAAAAGGTTAGTGGTCCCAGCATTTAGTATGTTAACTTGCACTCAGTTCTCCTTTTCAGATTTTTTTCCTCTCATGCTCATTTGTGCTTGGTGTTTCTCATGCTAAACACTCTTAATTTTTCCATAGAACAAAATGCCAGTCTTTTACTAGAATGAAAAAGGGAACTTAGGAACCTAATTGTTAACAGATGGATACGTTATCATTCAACTTGTTCTTAAGCCCATCTTTATCCATACGTTTTGTGGCCCTCGGTATTGCCAATTCCTAAACCACTTAGGGATTCTGATTTTCACCTTTTCTCACCGCTTATTTAGGATTTGACTCTCAGATCTTCTGAGTAATTTATCATGTTTCCTTTGCACTCTCCAAGATGTTATTACCATCACCCCATCTTTTCTTCATCATTGTGTGTTTTATGCCTTTAAAAACTCTTTACTGCCATTGTAATGGGTTTTCATGGAAGGGTAGAAGTAATTGCATGTACATCCATTATCTTTAACCAAAGTCCCCTTTAAGGAAAAAGTACATCTTTTAGGCAAGACCCTTTACTATCTAGCTTCTACTTGTCTTTTCTAACCTCATCTATACGGCTGCCCATCTCAGCCTCAGCTTCAGTCACAAGCATCTACTTGAGAAGTTGCCAGGCAAACCATGTTGCTTCATGCCTTTTGTTCTGCTCATGATATTTTCTTAATGTGCTATTTGTCCTTTAAGAGTCTCTTCAGTGAAGCTTTGCTGACTCATATAGGTGTCCCTCTGTCAGAGTGCTTATTGTATTATTATAGGTATTTACTTACTTTTTAAAGTCTCATCCTACAAGTTTCTTAACTTGTGGGTAGAGATAGAAGGTTTCCATGGATTAGTGGCAGAAAATGGTAGAGTACCCTGAAAATATTTACAGAATTTCATGTGTTTATAGATATTTTTTGAAATTTTTCTAAGGGACATTTTCTTCTAGGGATGTGTATCAAATACTTGCGGAGGTTGATTTTTTTTTTTTAGTGTTATTGCTTTGTGCTTCATCCAGAGATCTGAGAGTTACAACCTGAATTGAGAGCACAGAAAGCTGTCATTTCAAAAAAAATTACCAAATAATATTTTTAAGAACAGAATATCTTTTTATTATCTATGTGAACTCCAGGTCCTGACATCAAGTAAATGTTAAATAATGTTTAAAGAAAAATGAGGGAGGAACTTATATTCAGACCATGACCTGAAATAAATTTCCTGTGTAAAAACCTGAGTACAAATGGAGAATTTGTACTTTTACTAATTTCCTGTTTTATAAATGACTCATCACATGTTAATTGGAAAAATAGGAACATGCAATTTTTTTTTTTGAAAGGTAGAGGAAAGCTTTAGAGAACTAACAATAGGGATGAAAGAAAATTTAAGGATTAAACATAAACAAGCCAGATACATGTAGTCTGATTTTAATTCTTCTGACTTCCTGTGATTGCATTTGACCCAGTGATTTGGTTTCAAAAATTGGGGCTTCTTTACATTTTTTATGTTTGGGTACCAGATACCATACTATATATACCCGTTATATAGACTTGATTTCATAATCTATAAATTTAAACTTAACATGGCTAGTGACATGGAAAATGGGGAGCTTGACATGTTATATTGGCAAAAAAAAATACATGCTATGGTATTATAATGGTTTCTAACTAAAGAGAACAGAAAGAATCTTAATTTCTTAGGATGCTTTGCCTTGTCTTCCTCTGTGTTTAAGGTTTTAAAAATGTGTAAGTAAGAAAAGAACTGTGTGGTAAGAAAATCAAGCTCTTTGCTTTTTGTACTTTCCATTTACGTTTTTTTTTTTTTTTTTTTTTTTGGTCTAGGTATCTAAGAGATTATGGCATCTAAAACTCACAATGTTAAAAAACGGAACTTTCATAATAATATTGAGGATCATTCCATTGATCTTCCTAGAAAAAGAACCTCTAATTTCACTAATAAGAACATGAAGGAGGTAAGTTCATGGCTTCTAGGTAATTGATAAGACAGTATCAATTCTGTTCAATTTGCTATCACAGAATACCATAGACTGTAACTTATAAACAACAAAGTCTTTTTCTCATTGTTTTGGAAGTCGTTAAGGTCAAGATCAAGGCCTTAGCAGAGTTGGTATATGGTGAGGGCCCACTTCCTCCCATAGGTGGCTGTGTTCTTTTATGTCCTCATGTAGTCAAGGAGGCAAGTGAGTATTCTGGTCTCCCTATGCCAGTTCAGCCCATAGGTCTCCATCTTCATAATCTAATTATTTCCTCCAAACCCTATCTCTTAACCCTTACTCTGACTTTGTGGTTAGTATTTTCACAGGGAATTTTGGGGAGAAACAATCATTTTGTCCATCACAACAGTTTTAGATACCCTAAAACTGTTAGGTTTATGGATCGTTCTTGTTAAATTGTTAAATAGTGGGAAGGTAGTCATTCTGTTTAATATCTAGAACTAAGTGGAATTAGTGAAATATTGGAAATTGTTTATATTCCAAAAGCTCTCAAAATGTTTTGGCTATAGAATACTGTTTTGAATATTAAGAAGAAAAGATGTGGTTTGAATATCACGAAGAAAAGAAGAACTCAGAGATGCTTTTTATTTTCCATGGCAAGACTCATTGGCATTGATATATTGCTTCTAAACCATACTAAAAATCAACTTTCTTATTAAGCACCCTATAAGTGTGACATGTTGGTAGTGGCATAGAAAATAGGGAGCTGGAGATACTGCTTTCCCAAAAATACTTACACACTGTGTTTTTATAACTAATGATTGAGATTATAGCATTAAAACTGAAAATGTTTTAACTGAAAAACACAACTGTTCACTTTTAGATTCGTTGATATAAATCTCATAGTTTATGTAAGCTTATTATAGATGTTAAATATGCTACAGTTACGTACTTTTATTTTTCAGGTTAAGAAATCTCCAAAACAGTTGGCTGCTTACATAAATAGGTAAGAGCTTCTTGTGGGAAACAGCAAATATTGAAAACTAGTTAAGAGTAAAAATAGGGAAAAGAATAAGTACTGTCTTTCATATAATACTATTACTTATTGTTCAGCTGGTACTTTGTGGAAGACATGGCACTAAATAGATCAACATTATCACTAAAATCCTTACAACATTCCTATTAGATAGGTATCATTATCCCTATTACGAGAAAATTAAAGATCAGAGAAGTGAGTTTTTCTTAGTCAGAACCTAGAAAGTGGTAAAAGTAGCATTCATTCTCAGACCCTCACTTTTTCAGTGAGTTTGTAAAGTCAAAACTATAGTCACAAGAATACTAAAACAGTATTTGCTTATTTTTACTCTCCAAAGTGTAGGAGAGCTTTTGAAAGAAGACATAATTATTATGACAATAGATTGAATGCAGAAGCAGATATGAGAATCCATCTGTCTTCTGTTAAACCAGATATTATAGTTTTTGCAAAAATGTGAAGTCATTTTTCTCACTTTGTATTTTTTGTTTTAGAAAATAAATGGGTTTTGGAGTAAAATATTCTGTTAAAATATAATATTTTTTAATAGATTAACAATTTTGCAGTTTCAGTTTTTGTTTCTGATGTAGTGGCTGGTAGTAAATACTGTCCATATGAACAATTTCCTTTTGGAGAAAAAGAAAAAAACACTGGATGGTTTCACTCATAGTAGGAGCATAAAGGACGAGGGTTGGGGGAATAATAATAATGAACAACTATGTAACAAAGACATTTTACAGGCATGGAGTGGGGAATAGGATCAAAAATGTGAAATTTGTATGTGGGGGAATGCACTGGACTGTGGTGATGGCGCACAGGTGATTTGATGATAGGAAAAACCCCTCGGGATTACAACTGAGATGGAAAAAATCACAAAATGATCTAAAAATAAACTTGTATTATTTAAAAAAAAATTTCCTTTCGGACCTCAAGAAGTTGAATTCAAAATGTCTTGAAACCAGAACATTTGAGAATTACTATCCTGGACATGAAATTTGCTCTATTGTGGTTTATCTTACTCAAAGTTAAATATGCTACACCTTGTTTAAATTTTTTTTTTAAATATTCAAACTTGCGTAATTATTATGTCACTTTGTTAAAGGGCTAGGCTACTAGAAAATATTTTCATTTTCTCCCCAAAAGCTTGTAATAATACATTTAAAAGCATCTAGTTATGCCTTCTTTTATTGTCATTTGTTATAAAATATCACCCTTGACTTAATTATGGGCCCCTCTTGTATTTTCTTCTTCAAAGAGGTGAGGATTTTTTTTTTTTAAAGATTTATTTATTTGCGCATACAGAACTGGGGTACAGACCAGAGGCTCAGGGGCGGTGAGAAGCTTCACCAGAGACTAGAGTGGGGAGCAGAACAGGCAGATCCACGAAGTACACTGCTGAGGGGAGCAGTGGGCGGGTCAGGAGAGGTCTGCCGTGCCATGTGGTCACCTCCGGGACAGGCGGGAATCAAACTCATGCGGAAGTGGCTTTGGCTTTTCAGTGCTGTGTTTTAACCCACTGCGCCACCAGGGAGGGCCAGAGTTGAGGATTTTTAAAATGTTGCTTACTTCTAATTTAGTTGATTTTACACAGAATGTGGGCTAATAAATCTTTCTGTTTAAAACTGAAAATTTTTCATGTTATTACTCATTTAAGAAAATAAATTCTTTTTACAGAACAGTTGGACAAGCTGTGAAAAGCCCAGATAAACTACATAAGGTGATCTATCGCAGAAAGAAAGTTCATCCTTTTCCAAATCCTTGTTACAGAAAAAAGCAGTCCCCTACAAGTGGGGACTGTGACATGGCAAATAAAGAAAATGAACTGGCTTGTGCAGGCCATCTGCCTGAGAAATTACGCCCTGATAGTCGAACATACTTGGTTAACTCCAGTGATTCTAGTTCTTCACAAACAGAAAACCCATCATCAAAATATAGTACCTTTTTTTCTGAGGTAAGTAATTTATGTAAGTTTAACTTTATTCTTGAATTTACTATTGGGTTTTTTTCTTTATCATATGCTGCAGAATAACAGAATAATTCAATAACAGAATAATTCACCACCTATTAATTCAGACTTAATTGAATGCTAGTAACCCCCAGCACAATTTTCTAGAATAACCAAATTTGAACCGGTAGTTTATTACATTTCTCTAAAGTTAGTAATATCTGAGGTAGAATGAAGTGATTGACAGGCTACTATAAATATCCCTGATGACAAGTTGGCCAGTAAAAATTTAACGGGAGATAAAAGGAGGAATCTTGCTTAAAAATGTATATCACCAGAGACAGAATCCAGGCACATGTTAATGGATTTTCAAAATCCTAGTAGAAGCTTCCTTTTGATAAACATGCTAAATTTTGATGTTCTTCTGATTCAGGTAAAATTAGTTGGTAAAATATTCTAAAACTTAATTGTGATAATGGCCATTCAGTTTTATAAACTTACTAAAAATCAATGAATTATTTTCTTTCAATGAGTGTTTTATGTAAATTACACCTCAAAAAAGTAATTTAAAAAAGTTATTTGAATAAATGACAAAATTTAGAAAGATGCAAGTTTATGGTAATTTTTATTAAATGTTAATTATACATGTTGTGAAAATTAAACCCAAAAGGAAAAAGTTACTCCTTTCAACATTTGGAAATCATAGTACTGAAAAATTTTTTTCTTTATACTATATACATTGTTTGATAACAATGTTTCTGTTTAATATGAATATTTTCCATATGGTCAAATAAACTTCCGTATTTTTTTCAAGTAATAAATTGTTATTATTTTTTATTTTTATTATAATTTATTTTCACATCATTTTGTGCCTTTTTCCATCTTAGTTGTAATCCCCCCTGGACTTCCCATCACTACTTCACCCGTGTGCCATCACCCAGTCCCATGTACTCTCCCCCACCACCTATTTTTGATTCCATTCCCCAGTCCACCGCTGTAAAATGTCTCTGGTATATAGTTGTTCATTTTTTTATATATATATATAATAATTTATTTTTACATCATTTTGTACTTTTTTTTCCCATCTCAATTGTAATCCCCGTGGGTTTCCCATCACTAAGTCACCCAGGTGCCATCACCATAGTCCAGTGCACTTCCCTCCCCCCTCCCCATTTTTGATCCCATTCCCCACTCCACCCCCACAAAATGTCTCTGGTATATGGCTGTTCATTATTCTTGTTATTTTCTCGCCTGGTCCAATATACTCCTGCTATGTGTGAAACCATCTGGTATTTTTCTTTCTCTTTCTGGCTTATCTCACTAAGCATGATCTTTTCCAGCTCCATCCAAGTTGCTGCGAAAGACATGTGTTTCTCTTGTTTTGGCTGCTGAGTAATATTCCATTGTATATATGTACCACATCTTTTTAATCCAGTCATCTACTTTTGGGCATTTGGGTTGATTCCATGTCTTTCCTATTGTAAATAAAGCAGCAGTAAACATGAGGGTGCTGGTGTCTTTGTGAATCAGTGTTTTTGTGTCTTTTGGGTAGATACCTAGGAGTGGGATTGCTGGGTCATATGGAAGCTCCATGTTAAGCAGTTTGAGGAACTTCCAAACAGTTTTCCATAGTGGTTGCACTAGTTTGCATTCCCACCAGCAGTGCAGGAGAGTTCCTTTATTCCTACATCCTCACCAACATTTGTTGTTGCTAGTTGTTTTAAGATGTGCCATTCTCACTGTTGTGAAGTAGTATCTCATTGTGTTTTTAATTTGCATCTCTCTTATTACAAGTATTAAACTTCCATAGCTTTTTAATGGATTTATAGCATTATAGTACTATAATTTGTGATTTAGTAAATAGTTTTTTTTTTCTTTCTGGCATGACCCCTTTAAAAAGCATTTTATGAGTGGACAAAAAGTCTTTTTAAATTAAAATGGTCATAAATATAGGGGAATGAAAATGGACATCATATTTAGGATAAATATGGGCTATGTGTAAATAAGAGGAAAAGAAAGTATTATTAACTAAAACCGTAATGAAGTGAGGTAAGAAGAGATTCTATTTCCAAGTGAAAACATCATTGTAAAAGCAATATCTTAGAATAATAGAAAATTAGCAATGCTAAGAGAAGTGAAGGAAGTGTGTATATGATCAGTAAGAAAAGAGAATCAGGCCTTGCCTGGTGGTGCAGGTGGGTTGGAGCACCACACTGTGAAGCTAAGCCAAGCCAAGCCAAGCCATGGACTCTTCAATGCCAGTTCAATTCCCACACCAGAGGTGACCTACATGGCTCAGCAGACTTCTCCTGTCTTTCCCACTGCTCCCCTCAGCAGTGTACTTTGTCAATCCACTTGTCCTGCTCCCCATTCTGTTCTGGTGAATGCTCTTGCTGCCCCTGTACCTATGGCCTGTACCCCATTTCTGTATACATAAATAAATAAAATCTTTAAAAAAAAAAAAAGAGGAAGCAGACAGAATTTGATTTAATAGTGAATTATTGTGAACCTGGAGAATATGATGATAACCCATTCACAAATATTTGTGGATAAATGATGCTGTTTAATATATTCTGCAGTCTCAGAGAGAGATTAGTAAAAAACAGTGCCTCTCTTTTCATGTAGTTAAAGAAGTGACGAGGCCAAGATTAGTCAGATAGTCATAGAAATGACATATGAAGGAAAAGAACACATGAATAATCCAGAAATCTGCCAGCTTGGAATCTACATTGATTCCTGAATTAAACTGAAGGAATAAACACAATGCGCGCATATACCTTGAGATGAAGTTTCATTGTGCATTTGAATTAATGGCACAGTGAGACATGTTTTCAAGCACCTCCTTATACTATGCTGTCTCATTTTGACCTCACAAATCTTCCTTAACCTTGCACTGAATAGTTTATTGATTGCTCATTTGTTTCAACCTTTCTTCCTGATTATCTAGTACCTGCTCTGAAAACCTAAAACTAAAAGTGATATGATACCATTTTTCAGATTCAATTAGCTATAACCTTTTATTTAGCTGTTTTAATTCTAAAATTAATCTACTTGTGTATGCATGTACATACATCAAGGTGATCATTAATCAAGGTGATCATTAATACATAGTTTTAATAGGGAGAAACCAGAATCAATCTAAATAAGTTAAAGTACATAAAAGTATAATTGTTACTTGAAGATGAGATTATGTTTTGACATTGGAAAATCTTAATATAAGTGAAAAGGCAAGATTTTGAAAAATATTGGTATTATTTTAATTTTACATGTATCTAATTTCCTTTGTCTAGAGAATGGCTTGAAAGGTATATACCAATTTGTTTACCATGATTACTTTTGGAGAGTGACATTAGGTGTGTTTTCTTTTTTTAAGGGCAGGTGGAAAGTATTCACTTTTTATCAGTCACAGTTATGCATTATTTAACCTTTTTACAAAAGGAATATATCAATAACTATAAAGAAAAAAGAACTTTTCATTTACTAATTTACTTTGTATGTAATTTATTATATAAAAAAATGAATGAGTTTAAATAATTACAGAACTGAATTTTTGTGACTCGTTCACTAGTGGTGACGAGCTTATATATTTATCTTTTCCATTAATTCACATTTTAAAATGAATCATAGGTTTGTTGATAAGCTAAAATGATTTATTTAACAAATTATTGAAATTTAAAAGAAAAATGATAGCAAGTAGAAAAGGTATGTTTAGAAAAAGTAAGTCCTAAATTTATTTATATCATCTATTTACTGTGTTCAGCTACAACTTGCATAACTTTGAAATGTCTACCAGAATAATTTAAAAATTTATTTTATATCACGTTTCAGTGTGTTTTAACAAATTGATTACTGCATTCCAGGTTTCTCATGACCATGAAACAATGGCACAAGTTTTGTTCAGCAGGAATTTGAGATTGAATGTGGCTTTAACTTTCTGGAGAAAGAGAAGTATAAGTGAACTCGTAGCTTATTTGGTGAGGTCAGTGTGACTTGTGTGACTTTCGTTAAATAAAAGTAATTTCCAGTGTTTTGTCTTGAAGTGCCTCTTTTTATGTTATTATTGGCTGAAATTGTTAACTTTTTATGTTTAATTTCAGTAGAGATTGTACAGTTTAAATAACATTCCTCACCAGTCTAAGAGTAACAGAAATGTAGAAAACTTTGTTTTCTTAGATAAAACAAAGCTGGTGCCTTTTCAGACTACAATTCTAAAACAAGACATCAGTATGGGAAAACTGACCTTTTAAAAATCCCCTTTGTGTAAACATTTTAATCATTACCTTCCTCGCTATTTTCAAGTCTCTTCTCAGTTGTTACCTTGGTGAGGTACATAAGTATATGTATTTCTTCACTATTTCTCTTCTGTTTTAGTTTTCTCAGGAGTACTTAATACTATTAGTATACTCTATATATGACATTTATCTGTCTGCCTTCTCCCTTAACTCCACCCATAGGCACTGAAATACAAGCCCTTGTTTTCTCATTCCTGTGTCCCTAGCACTACACTCATCTTAGACACTTGAATTATTTGCTGAATAAATGAACTTCTGAAAAACAGTGTTAAAGTTTATCATATTAAATAGGAAATCACTTCTCTAAACAATGCTATCTTTTTGTACCCACAGGATAGAAGACCTGGGTGTTGTGGTGGATTGCCTGCCTGTACTTACTAATAGGTAAAACTGAATATTTTTCATAATAAAATCAGGTGAGAGAAGGACAAATTATGCCTCTTATATTTTTATAATTTAGTATTTCTTTAGTTTACAGGAAGAAAAACAATACGTCTCACTTGGCTGCTGTGTGGATTTGTTGCCTCTAGTAAAGTCACTACTTAAAAGCAAATTTGAAGAGTAAGTACTAATCTGAATCTTAATTCCTGTTTTCCTTTCAAAATCCTGTTTGTTTGTGAGTAGCATAGTAGTAAATTGAACTCCATGAGACATCTGTGGTTTCTGTTTTCAAGGAACATAGAAATTTCCAATTAGAAAAGAACATGAAATAGCTCAAGAACAATTAAAAAAGCATGTATAGATAATCTACATAAATTATGTAGGGGGAGAGATCAGTGTGTATATATGGGATTTTTTGTGGGGGTGGAGAAGAAGATCACCTTTTGTAAAGGCCTTGTGAATGAAAACCCTTCAATTTTGTGATAAAATATCATTTCAGATATGTAATAGTTGGTTTAAACTGGCTTCAAGCAGTCATAAAAAGGTGGTGGTCAGAACTGTCATCCAAAACAGAAATTATAAATGATGGGTAAGTACACCTTTATAGATAATCATGCCACTAATGTTTTTTCCTTACATCATCATTCATTTTTGTACAGTAATTTATTTTCCCCCTTGGAGGTAGTCCTTGTAAGTTCTCCCACCACCATGTCATCTGCGAACCATCACCATATCTTCCCTCCTCTGTTTTAACTCCCCCTAGTTCCCTCTCCTTTGCTGTATGGCTCAGATCTATGATCAACTTGAAGGTTTTGTCTTTTTGCTTTTACTAAGTAAAATAATCTGATACTTACCTTTTTTCTTCTGACTTATTCCGGCTAGCATAATCCCTCTAGCTCCATCCATGCTGTGGCAAATGACACGAGTCTATTTTTGATTGCTGATTAATATTCACTGTGTATATATACCACATCTTCTTGATCCATTTTTCATTTTGGGGCATTTGGATTGTTTCCATATTTTGACTCTTATAAACAGTGCTGCAATAAAAATAGGAGTTTAGATTTCCTTTTGAATTAATGTTTAGGGTAGAGAGAAATATCTTTGGAGTAGAATCACTGGGTCATACAGTAGATCAGTTTTTAGTGTTCTGAAGGACTCCACACAGCTTTCCATAGTCTTGACCAATTACATTCCCACCAGCAGTTAAGAAGGTACCATTTTCTCTGCATCCTTTCCAGCATTTGTTTCCAGTTTTTTTAATGTGGGCCATTCTCACTAGAGTGAGGTGATAGCTCATTGTGGTTTTGATTTGCAGATCCCTGATAACTAGTGATGTTGAATATTATTTCATATGCCTGCTGACCATTTGCATTTTTTCTTAGGAGAAATGTCTATATAGTTCTGCCCATTTTTTTGATTGGGTTATTTTGCTTTGATTTTGTTGAATTGTGTAAGGTCTTTGTAGATCTTTCGTATCAGTCCCTTATTGGTTATATGATGTGCAAATATTTTTCTGCCATTTAGTGGGATGTCTCTTCATTTTGATTACTGTTTCTTTTGCTGTATACAAACCTTTTAGTTTAATGTAGTCCCAGTTGTTTATCTTCACTTTATTGTTCTTGCTTCTGGAGATGACTCTTTAAAGATATTTATGTCGGCCCTCCCTGGTGGCGCAGCGGGTTAAAGCACTGCACTGAAAAGTAAAGCCACTTCCTCATGAGTTCAATTCCCGCCTGCCCTGGAGGTGGCCACATGGCGTGGCAGACCTCTCCTGACCCGCCCGCTGCTCCCCTCAGCAGTG